CAGGAGACCGAGCCTGCACCAGCCACTGCAGGGGATAGAGGCTGCACCTAGCCAGTGCAGGGAATAGAGGCTGCACCCAGCCACTGCAGGAGACCAAGCCTGCACCCAGCCACTGCAGGGAATAGAGGCTGCACCCAGCCACTGCAGGGGATGGAGGCTGCACCCAGCCACTGCAGGGGACGGAGGCTGCACCCAGCCACTGCAGGGGAATGAGCCTGCACCAGCCACTGCAGGGGAGTGAGCCTGCACCAGCCACTGCAGGGGAGTGAGCCTGCACCAGCCACTGCAGGGGATAGAGGCTGCACCTAGCCACTGCAGGGGACCGAGCCTGCACCCAGCCAGTGCAGGGGATAGAGGCTGCACCCAGCCACTGTAGGGAACTGAGCCTGCATTCAGTCACTGCAGGGGACTGAGCAGTTGTGGAAGTCATGGTTGGCAGTGCCTTGGAGGGAGCGCCGCTCAGAGCTAAGATACCATAGAACTGTACATTCATTCTGGGAGTTTTAGGGCAGATGGGAATACTTGTTCTAATAAAATCCACTTGAGTAGACAATTTCCCGAGATGCAAGTGTCTCGAGAGACAGGTGTGTCTTTTTCTAATTTGCACAAATACCCTGTAGGCCACGGTGGTATTGGGTTGCCCTTTCTATGAGAATGCTGAGTTGATGATGGCTCCTTCGGGAATAACTACAGCTATTTGTTGTGGTGGTTGAGATAGGGTCTTGCTCTGTTGCCCAGACTGGAGTGCAGTGGTGTGATCATAACTCACTGTAACCTCGAACTCCTGGACTCAGGCAATCCTCCTACCTCAGCCTCCTAAGGAGCTGGGGCTACAGGCATGCACCACTATGCCTGGCTCATTTTTAAATTTTTGATAGAGATGAGGTCTTGCTGTGTTGCCCAGGCTGGTCTCAAGCTCCTGGCCTCAAGCAATCCTCCCCTCTTGGCCTCGCAAAGTGCTAGGGTTACAGGCATGAACCACTGTGTCTGGCCTTATGACACCTAACTTTTAAACAACATTTGAGGGCTTCCTCAGGTTCTTTCTGGTGCATTATTAAAAGTGAGGGTGTGCAGGACGGGCGCAGGGGCTCACACCTGTAATCCCAGCACTTTGCGGGGCCGAGGTGGATGGATCACCTGAGGTCAACAGTTCAAGACCAGCTTGACCAACACGGCGAAACTCCATCTCTACTAAAAATACAAAATTAGCTGGGTGTGGTGGTGGGTGCGTGTAATCCCAGCTACTCAGGAGGCTGAGGCAAGAGAATCGCTTGAACCTGGGAGGCGGAGGTTGCAATGAGCCAGGATCACACCACTGCACTCCAGCCGCCTGGGTGACAGAGCAAGACTCCATCTCAAAAA